GTGTGTTCATAGTCCGCAACTATTTAACGCTTCAGCGATTTTGTATGTAAAGTTATGTCTTCTGTTTGTCGGTGCCTCTTGCTTTCCTACATGTTAAACTATGGACACATTCCATCATTTGTTACCCCTAATATGCATAATTTCGGAATAATTAAGAAGTTTAAACAGACAGAGCAACCACAAACGAAAATGACCAACTCGTGCCATGCAGCCGGCCCAAAAACTTTTCCATTTGAAAATGTGGGCTAATGGAATTTTCACTTTGCATTTTGTATCCTGTTGGTCAGTTATAGGGGCAGGTTAGTGACTGAATTCCACCCCCTAGCGAATGCAATTTAAATAAACATCAAGTTATTTTTTCATGGCCCACAAGTAGGGAAACGAACATGTGCGCTTAGAGGGCGAATGCTGAGTGAAGGTGGCGTGTGGGCACTAGAGCGAGGAACAAGTGTCCATTTGAAGTGTATTTCATGCATGGGGTGGTTGCATTGTTGGTAGATTAACTCATGACTTTTTCCTAAAAGGGGAGTGAAGATGAGTAAATTTCAATTTTAAATTACATTATTTGAATTTGATCATAAAGGATATAAGCAAGGTGTGTGGAAGTGTGTTGATATGCTATGGAAAATATATTCAGGAAAATGTTTAGTAAATTCCAAAGGATGAACATCTGCTGATATTTTGGTTGCCATAGAAACTGTTGGTTTAAAATGCTTACTTTGAATATAAACACGTTTACAGTCCTTCAAAATTATAATTGAATATTCAAAAAAAAGACAACATATAGCGGGTGAAATAAGACTTTTATTTCAAAAAAATTCGAAGATTCCATTAAACTGCGAATATTTTTAATTTTAGAAAAACCGTTCCATTGTGCACCATATGTATTAGCCATGTCAAGTACTTAAAATTCCGTTTAGGTATAGCTATAGCTCCCATATATATGTTTCATCCGATTTGGTCTTCAAGTCCCTCATATTCGTAATACGCACTCCTGAACAATGATATTTGGTACCAGATATAAGATACAGCTCAGAAATGCCTGTTTCGAATTTTATTAAAATCGGCTCAGATTTGGATATAGCTCTCATATATATCTTCATCCGATTTCACATTAATTGACCCTCAAAAGTGTAATATCAGCTCAAATATGGTGGATTCTGATGGATATCGGTTTAGATTCATCGATTCAGAGGGGGATATCCCTCCCATATATTGGTTCCTTTCAACTTTAAATTAAAACTGTTTTAAAGCCATAATACGCATCTTAAAACTATCACGTTTTGTATGATTTAATTCTCATAAATTCCCCATAAAAACGTTAATTTCATGTGGATAGTTCTATTGCATGTGCAAAGTTATGTGGGGTATCGTAAAGTCGTCTCAATTTGGCTCTTGATCTTTATCTAATTTTTTTTGTGAAAAACTTGCATACAGCTCTTAAAAAATCCCTACATATCTATCAAGCTAAATTTTAACACTTTTTGGTAACCAGGAGTAGTGTGCCGATTTAACTCTAAAACTAATATTTTGAGGAACGTAGGTCTCATTAAATAAAATACCCGCATTGCTTCCCAAAATTATTCCTAAGAATTGAACAAAGCGGAATATGCAGACCGATATATCCCATCTTTACAAGAGAAAAATGAAAATAGAGAAATCGAGATCACTGCACATAATAGATAGAATAAACTTGAAGAGAAATGTTTTTTTTTTCATACAAAAGTAATGGTATGTTACAATGGCAACTATTTTTCAGTGATCATCAATTTTGCTCTTCTTTTCTAACCCTCTCCGCAAAAACCGGAACAGATCGGTCAAAAATTGTGACCTGTAGAGCGACTATAAAATCTATTTTTGTCGATTTCATGCCCCAAATGGGGATTAAATCATGGGGTTTTTCGAACACGTATACCTGTATGGATTTTTGCCATAGGAGGTGGTATCAATAACGAACTTTAAATTCAATTGAATGATGTGGGTAAAATCATCCAAATACCGAAAATTGTATGGTGCCGGGTGTGTATCACATATGGACATGTTTTCTCCCTGAAAAAGTGGAGACACTCGTCTTATGCCCCCAAACTAGTGTAGGCGTTATGTGGGGGTTATACCAAAAACGTGGACAGAATAAAATACATTTGCGGAGTAAAGTATAACGCTTTTACGATGCTCTGTCTATGGCCGAGATACTGTTAAATAACATAAAAACGATATGCGAGGATAAATGTCGAAAGCAATAGGTCAAAAGTCTAGCGGTGTTGACGATATGATACCTTTCAACACTATGCGTATATTGATGCTGATATTACATATATGGTTAGCAATAACCGTAAAGTCGGATGAAGTTGTATATTGAAGCTTCATAAAAATCTGAACCGATCTCAATAAAAATTGGCAGATGTATTGTCGAGCTGTATCTGATATCTGGTACCAAATATTATTTTTGTGGAGTGCATATTACGCGTGTCAGTGACTTAAATTCCCAACTTGGGTGAAAAATATATATGCGTGCTGTAGCTTTATCTGGACCGATTTTCACCAAATTTAAAGTACTTATTTCTAGAATTAATTCAGTCGGAATTGTCCGAATTCAGTCCGTTTGGGATGATTTATATAATAAACGCGATCTGTATTTGTTTACAAAAATATAAGGACAGACGGACGGACAGACTGATATGCATAAATCGACTCAGAAGATCCTTTGAAGTTCCTCAAAAGAAACTATGTGTCTATCTCGCTTCGTTCTCCATGTTACAAACAAATGCACAAATACATAATACCCTTACCACTATGTTGTGTAGGGTACAATAATATTAACCTAATTTACACAATTCGAAAGAGATTTTCGGAGACGGACATAACCAAATCGACATAGAATGTTGTGCTGGTAAAATATATTATCTAAAAAATAAGCATGCAGGGCCAACTATATCATACCCTACAACACTACAATATGTTAGAAGCCCCCTTATGTCCAAATCCATATTGGAAGATTTCGCTTTTGAAATTAGGATTTTGACTAGGGACATTCGTCCAATATTTCTGCACTCCGTCGGGCTGTTAGTTGTTGCGGTCCATTTTACAGCTAAATAAAATCCAATGGTCATCCAAAATTCTAGAATTCTTCCCTGTCCTTAACTCTCTTCACAGGCTTGTCGAATGGCTTCAATTGTGTGATCGGAAAAACATTTCTGTTTTTTGGTTAATTTGAACCCCTAAATATTTTGCAATCATCTTCAAAAGCAAGAAGCCCCTCTGTATCTCCAAATTTATACGCATCTATATGATTTTCTTGTCTACGATATTTGGCTATATTCTTCCACGAAATCAGCGCAAAAAGGCCAGAAGTTCACCTTTTGTGTATTTCGAATATCGCCTGTAAGTTATGTTGGTATTTTTTCACACAAAAGTAGTGGTCCATTCTATCCTCTGTCCTAACTCTAACTTCATGCGAGATTTCGTGTCTTTTGGTTTCTATTTGTGACCTTTATAACGGCTTCAAAATCAGGAAAATGTTTAATTGTTGGTTCATTTCAACCCCTAATATATTGCGGACATCTTTCAAAACAATAGGCCTAGCGCTTCTAAGCCCGACCCTACCCTTGTAAAAATTTTCGTGAGGATCGGACGGTAATTGCAATATTCCCAATGTGTGTTGTAAGGTGAAAAAATATTACAGAATATTATAAGTTAAATTGAAAATATCGCATGCGATAAAAAATATGAAAAAATAAAAAAAATGTCACAAAATACTACAAAATCTATATTATTATAATTATTGGCACATTTTTCTGCGATTTTTTTAGATTTTATACTTTTATGTCAAGAGGGCATTCTGAATTGGCAAAATTTATCAAAATCGGTCCAGCCATTCGGTAGATATAAGCATTCTAACAAACATCCCCTTCCTTTGTATATACACATTGTATATATTTCGCTATATATAACCGATATATTTACTATCGGCATCTATGTAACGGTCAGATTTGACCTGTTCGTCTATTTGTAATTTCGCCGGCATTAAAAATATTCGCGGTTTAATGGAAAATTTGACTTTTATTTTACACAAATGTTGTGGCCTATTTCACCCACTAAATAATACCCGATGACAATATAAATTGGAAGGCTTCTGCCCAGCCATAAGGTCTAGCCCCATGCTTACTTTCGCTTTGATTGGTCTATAATTGCGACCTGTAGAGCAACTGCAAAAACAGGATTTTTGGTCCATTTCAACACCTAAATATTATGCGATCCTCTCCAAAAGAAATAGGGTTCTATTCTGACACTAGCCCCACCTCCATTCTAAATTTCGTGAAGATCGGGCCATAATTGCGACCTGTAGAGTGATTACAAATTAACATGGACAGACGGACAGACGGACGGTCGGACATACATAGTTAGATCGACTCAGTTCGGCGAGATAGGAAGATCCATATATACTTTCCTATGTGGGAAAGGAATATTTCGTGGTGTTACATAATTTTTGGCCCAATCAAACTTATAATACCCTCAACACATAGTGTTGTAGGGTATAATGATTATTTCACAGAGTTGCAAACGGAATAAGAAACTTTGCATACACTCCATAGTATGGCGGAGTAGAGTATAACGCTTTTACATTGACGTCATAATTATGGCCAAGAAATGTCTGAATAGCTTAAAAACTGCCCTCACGTACAGTTTTTAAGCTATTCAGCCATATCTTCGATATTAGGATTAAAAGATTTATACCCTAGTCGGAGAATCCCCAAATTATATACATTCATGATAGGCATTTAATGTAATTTCAATTTTCTCATGTCCGTCTGTTAAATCATGGTATATCTCGCACATGCAAATTTAGAGCTTTAAAATTTTGCAAGTGTACGTTTACTAAAAGTCTCTTGCGCTTTTTTCTCCATTTTCAACGATTTTTGAAATATGTTTCACAAGTTTCAATTATTACTCTCTGGTTATACCGTTTTTTGTATAATAGGTTTAAATAAATTGGCAAATAATTCTGGTGTAATGCCAAGTGCGTGCGGACTAATATTTATTTACTACAAGTTATGCTATAACTACAAATATACACGTTGTGTCCGAACCAATCACCATTTTCATAAGCCAAAAAGTCTAGTCATCAATTTTTAAATTAATACTTTTATGTAGACCCGGTACCGACTCGTCCCATTGGGCGCGATATAAATTACCGGCAATTGGTGCACCCAGTTCATATTTTTCAGCAAATTTCCTAATTTTGTAATTCATATGGGCTTTTCCATTGGCTGGATCTATAACCTTTTCGTCAAAATCAATTTTATTTGGTTGTTCATAGACCAGATAAACATAACGCATAATTCCGGCATTTTTGGGTGGGAAAGGTCCAATATAGGAACAATATAGCTCGCCCTTATCCACTTGATTACCCGGAACGTTCAAGACCAACCAATGAATTGCCTCAGACCAGCGAGGATCCTTTGTGTCGGGAGCATCTGGACATCCCATGTAAATCGAATAATATTTGTTGGGGTCAGCTGAGGGCCAATCTATAATTGGAACTGAAACCATATCGGCAGGTTTGTATTCAATGCCATCACCCACCATTAGGCCATTGTCCATTTCCAGCTGAAATGAAATCGTTATTTTACATTATTTTTAAATATTTAAACATTTTTAAAATATTTAAATATTTTCACCTTTAGTTTTTCCTTTGGAGCTTCGTCAATTATTTGGGGCACAACATTGAAGTCCTTGAAAAGTTTATCTAAATCGTCCTCAGCTATGCCATGTGCCGCAAGCAAAGTAACCAGTATTATACTGGACAACATGTTTACAACTTCTCGCTTCTCCACAGTTTTGATTTGTAATGTTCGACAGACTGTAGTTTATATAGGCGCCCTATGCATGCAGAAAATTGCTGATAATCGATGTTTGTTTTGTTAATAAAACATTTAATTTGCAATAGTTTTGTTTGGCTTATTTTAACAAGTTATCGTAAATTCTAACAATGAAATAATTGCCTACAATATTATCAAATTATCGTAATATAATTTGATTGTAACTTCAATATTTTTAAAAAAAAAATATTTTTTAATATAACCAGGTATGGTACGCTACATTCTCTTAGTTAATTTATTCAATGGCTATAAGTGCTGCCAGCGTCAGCTGGACACACTTTTCAATTTATCGCCAAACACCTTGCACACTTTTGTGAAAAGTTTGAATAACTAAATTTGAAAATACTCATCTTCAGAAACGTACAACATATGTCCAACCAGCATAAATATCTCCAACTACCGAACCAACCACCCTAATTGTGTTGCGCTTCAATTGCTGCCCAACGCTGTGCACTTGTTCCTCTCCAGTGACCACAAACCACCCAAGCATTGAAAAGTCAGCACATGCCACTTTTCCTCTTGACTTTCGAAAAAAAAACAAACAACCTGATCAAGGTAGGGTAGGGAAACTTGTAGCTTACAGCCCCTATTGTCAAACAGGATATAAAATGCAAAGAAGGAAATGTGCAACCCACATTTTTTTAATGAGGGACAACCTGCCCCGAGTTCACGAGGTGGTGCATGGCACGAGTAACATGCTCTGTTATGACCAGTTTTATAATTATTTAAAAAAAAATACTCTTAATTGGTTTGAAGAACCAAACAAACATGTGGTGGAATGATGCATGAAAATTCAGTTGATTCCGAATGAGTCAACTGTACCCAAAGTAGGAGACCAGAAGTTTACAGCATTGTTATCCACGAAAGAAGAATCGTCTGAGTAGTTTCAGACTATAATATTCAAACAAAAAAAAAAACAAGTTAAACTTTTAATACCCTCCACCATTTGCAACAAATTTGGAAATTTATAAAAAATAAAATCCTTAAAAAATTCTTTTAAAATTTTAAAAATACCGAATATAGCCGTTATATTGGGGTCTATACGACGTGGTCATACATAGGCATTGTTTGTCATAAGCCATTACCATATTCAAATTCGAAACTTGAAATAAACGGTGAATAATGTAGCTAAAATCATCAAAAGATCTTATATAAGGAGGTGCCGTGTAATTGGAGCTGTGCGAAGACCTGGACAAGCATAGACAATTTTCTGTCACAGGCTGTAACATCCATTACGAACTTCAAATACCACATCTCAAACAATTTCGGTGGGTATTGTACCTAAAATCGTCAAAATACCGAATATAGGGAGGTACTGATATATGGGGCCCATACGAAGACCTGGACCCGCACAGACAATTTTCTGTCACAGACTGTAGTTGCCATAACGAACTTCAAATACCAATTTTGAAACCATTCCGGTGAATAATGTCGCTAAAATCGTCAAAATACCGAATATAGGGAGGTACCGTTATATGGGGGCTATATGAAGACGTATACCTGCACAGACAATTTTCTGTCTTAGGGTGTAGTATCCATTTTGAACTTCAAATACCACCTTGGAAAGGAGGGTATATTAACTTTGTCATTCCGTTTGTAACATCCTTAAATATTCGTCTTAGACCCCATAAAGTATATTTATTCATAATCAGCATAAAATTCTGTCCGTCTGTCTGTCTGTCTGTTGAAATCACGATACAGCCCACATTATTTGACGTAGAGCGCCAAAATTTAGCAGAGCAATTTGCATTGTGTCTAGGATGGTTGGTATTGAAAATGAGATATATCGGTCCACTTTCTGGTACAGTCCCCATATAACGGTACCTCCCGATATTCGGTATTTTGATGATTAGGCCACATTTTTTCACGGATTTGTCTAAAAATTGGTATTTGTGGGTCATAATGGTTTCCAGCTCCGGTGGCGAAACATTGCATGTATGGGTCCATGATTTGATATAGTCCCCATATAACGGTACCTCCCGATATTCGGTATTTTAGTTTTTTTGCCACATTTTTTCACTGATTTGTCTAAAAATTGGTATTTGTGGGTCATAATGAGTCCTAGTTCGTGTGGCGAAACATTGTAATTATAGGTCCACGTTTTGGTGTAGCCCCCATATAACGGTACCTCCCGACCACCCATATAACGGTACCACGGCATTTTAATGGTTTTTGCCACATTTCTTCTAATGTTTCTTTTACCCTAAGGTGGAAGGTATTAAAAGTTTGGCCAGGCCGAACTTAATGTTTTTTTTAGTTGTTATACCTATGTCTTTGTGCATTTGTTTGTAACACGCAAAAGGAAACGAGATAGACCCCTTGTTCCTTTTGATGATCTGCATAGAATCACATTCGGAGTCGATTTATGTATGTCCGTCCGTCTGTCCATGTATTTTTGTAAACAAAATACATTTCGCATTTATTGCCCGATCCAGGTGAAATTTTGCACAAATCATTTGTTTGGCCCAAGGACGAACCCTATTGAAATTAGAGATAATCGGTGAACATCTAGATATATATATCTTTGTCCGTTTTTTTCTTTGTTGTCCAGCCCAAATAATATGGAATTTTGCATGTACGACCAAATTAGGCCTGAAAATAAGATTGCCCAATTTGATCGAAATCGGTTCAGATATTGATCGAAATCGGTTCAGATATAGCTCCAGTATGTATATTTGTCATCCGATTTTTTATTTTTGTCCTCCGCAGTCGTAATATGCACTCTATAACAACGATATTTGGGGAAATATATCAAATACAGCTCAGAAATACCTTTTCTAAATTTTATCTAGAACGGGTCAGACTTGGATATAGCTTCGTCCGATTTGACTTTTATTGCGCACCAAAAGTGCAATGGGATAGAATTTGGCACTTACGACCGAATTGAGTCTAGAAGCTAGTACATCAAATTTGGTGAAAATCGGTTCAGATATAGCTATAGCTCGCATATATATTGTTCATCCGATTTGTTATATATGTTCCCCACAGCCGTAATATGCACTCCGTAACAACGACATTCAGGGAAATATATCAAATACAGCTCAGAAATGTCTTAGCCAAATTTTATCGAGATCGGTTCAGATTTGTATATAGCTCCCACTTAGAAATGTTCGGGGTTAAATGGAGAATTTGTAATTTTTCACAGGCAATGTATGTTTCATTTCACCCACTAAATATTATTTGATTACCATTCAAAATATTAAACTTCCGCCCTGTCCTAAATCTGTCTATCCAGGCAGATTTATGCTAAATCAACATAAAATTCAGTCTTTGGTCCATTACAGCCCTTAATATTTTGCGTTCATATCCCCCAAATTAGGTTTTTAGTCTGACCCTAACTCTATGAAAAATTTCGTGAGGATCATAATTGCGACCTGTGTTACTGTGATTACAAAGTAACATGGACAGACGGGCGGAGGGACAAATAAAGCTAGATCGACACAGCTTGGCAAGATACTAAGATTGACATATAACAACGTGTGTCTAAGACTAATATTTCGAGGTGTTACAATTTTTTTTGGCCCAATCAAACTTATAATGCATATGTATGATATATAGGGTATCAATATTAGGTAATTCGATGGAATAATGTGAAAAAATGCTATAACAAAAATTTGAAAAATGTAGCAACATTTTTCAAATAATGTGCCATCATCATTATAATACCCTTTATGCTTCGTATAACAAATTTAGTTTCTCACCCATTAAATTGTCACCTGGTTTTTACTTGGTATAAGGTAATTCACAAACAAACAAACGATACAAACATTGTTGCCCTCGCTCTATTTTTCTCACGGTAACTGCAGCGATTTGAATAAAGAAATCAGTTTATAACTCATATCAGCAAAAATACACTTGTTCCCACAAAATTTCGTTCAAATTTTCACACAGAATCAAAAAAAAAACAAAGCTGAGCGGATACAGCAAATTCTGAAAAAAGACCGAATAAAAAAACTCCACCAACAAAAAACTGCACACACACAAAAATATTCTATAAATAAACGAAATTCCTACAAAAAATACAACAACCACAAAAGAATATGAAATGAATAGAATTCGAAAAATTGTTATGGAAACGATATGTAATTGAAGAATGAACCTGCTACGGGGTACAGGTACATGGCCGACACGTACAAAAACAACAAACGTACACACTCGCTCAGTGATCAGCAACACGTCACAGTCGCCCAAAAAAGTATATGATGCGGGCATGTCTGTCCTTGTGTCTGCCTGGCGGGCCAGTCATCTGCCTGGACATTAAAGCAATGCTTTTTGTTTTTTATTCCTTTGCCAAAACCCAAAATGTGAATATTGGCAAGGCTCATTGAGGATTCAGATCTCAGAAAGAGAAAAAAAAAACAATGAAAACAAAAGGAAGAATTTTGAAAGCAACATCCAGAACAATAGCCACATAGACGTGCAAAATACACTAAAATTAACAAAAACAACAGCAACAATACGTGGCCTGTGATTCACAGACGTTGGACAAAAGAACAAGAAACATTGTGAGGATTTGCAAAAAAGGACGATTATCCTGTCATTCACTTGTTGCACCAGACTTCCATTCTCAACATCACAGTCGCATTCATACGATTTATTCATCTTTCACTTGTGAATAAGCCAAATTTGACACGGCCTCGAATTGTTGTGTGAAGCTGCAGAGGGTTCTCAACTGGTCACTCAATACGAAGGCTCGGGCAAATTCGTACACATACCACATTTTCAATCAGACGACAGGTAGTTTTAATTTCATACCTTGACGATGGAACGAAACAGGTACAGGGTATGAATAGAGAAAAAAAATGATTCTGCAGGAACGTAGCTCTGTCTTAGTTATTGTAAAATTGTTTAGGGTTAATATTCTTCACTACGCCACTGCTCGAACAATCGGGATCCTGTTATGTCAAATTCATCCTTTACGTTTTTTTGTGTTAATTTTATCTCAATTCGTCTGAAGCAATTCTTTTTTTCGGGAAACA